CTCAAACTCCTTGGAGGAGCCTGCACTCCAATTTTTGTCTCCCGAGGACTGTAAGACTGCTAAGCCCTCCCTTTATGTTTTTATGCTCTTAGATGTATTTTTGTGCTCTACTTCTTACTGTCTTATATAACACCATTTAGGAGCTGGCAAATGCTCCAAGAGAAACACTCCAGAATGTTGCGATCACTTCTTCTCTGTGATTCCCTTTTTAAAAATAGAATTTTTATCCCTGCCGTCCTGGATGCTTGGAATATTTTTACTCCAACTTTTTGTCTCTCCAGTCTCTGAGAATGCCAACACCACTTAAGAATTATCCAATAGCCCTGGCTGGTTTGGCTCAGTGGATAGAGCGTTGGCCTGCGGACTGAAGGGTCCTGGGTTCGATTCCAGTAGGGAGCACATGCCCAGGTTGCAGACTCGATCCCCAGTAGGGGGCGTGCAGGAGGCAGCCGATCAATGATTCTCTGACATCATTGATGTTTCTATCTCTCTCTCCCTCTCCCTTCCTCTCTGAAATATATATATATATATTTTTTTTTTAAAAGAATTGTCCAATAATTGGAGGAGAAAAGCAGAGATAATGTGAGGAGTATTGGGCTAACATCAATATATTTTTGTTTTATCTGAGATCTTGGCACTTACAAATTTTTCTGCCTTTGCTGCCCTTTGAGGCCTTCCAACCATTTTTTTAAAAAAAATCCAGCTATTATTATCTCAGTGAGAGTATTGGTTTGAACACATGAAACTCCATCATAGTGGGAAACAAAAGTTACCCAAGCCTGTGCAATCCAAATATTTGCTTCAGTGAAGACTATAATAATTTGGGCACCGTTTTATTCAGGATATTTTCACTATTTTACTTTGCCCATTTCCCTTGATTCAAATTGTCCTGATTAGTTTTTTCTTGCCCTATCACCCCTTAGGCCTAAGCTAGATTAAGGATCATTACTCAGAAAAGATGAGTCAGCTTTCTCCTCCTCATAAGAAATTAAAACTCAAGTGTAAAAGAAGCATAAGAAATAATTCAAGTCTTTCTAAGCATATATAAAGCGGAAATTACTTCCAAAAATGTACGGGGCCAGGTTTCTGGGATGTAGATCCTACTCTGCCAGGTACAAGGTGGGCAAGTTACTTAGTCTTTATGTGCTGACGTTTCTTCAGTTGTGAAATGTGAAAAAGGCTGGTGCCTGCTTCATACGGCATTACAGTAAATGATTTCATATATTTGCAGTATTTAGGACAAAATTTCACATATAGTAAGTGCTCAATTAATGCGAAAGATGATCCAATATCTATAGCAGTAGCCAAAAAATACATCTGCATATAACTTACATACAGTCATAATAAGTATTTATGGTTCAGTAGAGATAAGTTTGATTTCCTTGGTAAAGTGACTTGAGCCCATCCATTGCTAGAAAATTTTGTGATAAATCAAAAATTTTTTTCTCTTTTCTTCTTTTGCGTTTTTTGCAGGGGCCAGGGGTGGGGTGGGGTGGGGGTGAGAGAATGCTTTCTATTCTCTGTTAGTGGGAAGGCACAGGAACCATTTCTTTCTATTGCACAGCATTTATTTCCCAATATTTGAGTCACTCAACATTTATTGAGCACGTATTATGTTTCAGGCCGTGTACTAACTGTAGAGTTGTAGAGATGAATCATACCCCATACTTTTCCTGGAGGTCTTTTAAGACTTAACAGAGTCAGACATATAAGCAGGAAATGACACACCTACAGCCGTCCACCCTGTGGCAGGGTGTGAGAATTCTAGAATACATTAACTTTATCATCCTCACAACCACCCTGGGAGGTAGGCACTGAAGCTCAGAAGACTCAAGTCATTTGCCCAGAGGAGATTTGAACCCAGTGCCTCCAAAAAATACGTCCATGTCCTTCCCACCGATGCTAGGGCAGTGACACAGAAACGTCTGTACCTGGAACATCAAATAAAAGGCTGGTTATCCTCACCTGTCATGCCCACCTGCTCATTCAGGCGTGTGAACCCGAGTCAGACTGGCTTAGTGGCATTTCCCAGTTACTTCCGGCCCAGTGGTCAGACTAATAACACGCAGCCTTGACGCTCACACGGCAAGTCTAAACTCCAGTGCAGACGTATTTTTGAATGGATATTTTTAAATTCAGTCAGCCACGTTCACCTAAAAAGTGAGTTGTCATTTAAAAAAGTAAAGTGGCACATATTCCTTCAACGCGTGGGCTGCAATTGGAAAAGGCCCTCGTGTGTGTTTCCTGTGATATTTCCAAGCTACGTTTGGATTAATGAGCCACACTGATGTCATTCTGAGCTCCAACGAGATCCTCATCACGATTTCAACCCTGAGGGGACCGGTAGCTTCCTTAGCTGCCAGAGGCGTATCTGATCCTCGGTAGTTTGCAAAGGGGAATAAGCGATGGCAGGTTGGAAGCATGCGTCCACTGTATACATGGAAGGCCAGTCCGCTGATTGCTTTAACTTACAATGAGTTAAGATCAAGTCAATAAATAGTTAAATATATTTAGTCTTCAAAGTAATAGAACATTTTGAGAAGTGTTCGTTTCTGCTAAATTTTAAAGTCATGAAAGCCAGGACTTTCAGGAATTTTTAGAACCGAGAGCTTCTGGTTTCAGAGGACATCCCCTATTGGCAAAGCGTGGTACTGCAGTTTTACTCTTCGAGGCTGGATCTGCGAGAGAGGAAGAGTTTAGGCAGCCAGGGATTTGGAGTCAGAGAGATGATAAGGCAGGCAGCTCAGGGCCCTGGACCCTGAAAGTCTAGAAGGATACGCTTTCTCCCCTCTCTTTGCATTCCCCTCATTGCTAGGATTGCATTTCGGAACAGAGAATCAGAACTGGACAAATGGCAAATTTGTAAATTGTGACTGTTACTGAAACCTGCCCCCAGTGACACATCCTGACCCATTTAGATAGGCGTGGGATTCAATGAGCCAATTGTCTCTGTGCAAACAGGTAAATTCCTGCTGTCGCTCACCCGAAATTAAAGGGGAAGCATTACGGCTTGGTTTTACTTTAGCAGTGCTCCAGCTAATAACATCAGGAAAATAGCTTTTCAAATGAAAACACTTTTTTTTTTTGTCCTCCCCACTGGAGCTGGGACAGAGGTCAAGAGAGAGGAAGATGGAATAGGAAGATTCCATGCCAAACAGCTTGGACATTAGTCTTATTGTTCAAGAAGCAATGAATGACTCTGAAGAAATGGCATTCTTTTAGAGTGACAAAAATGTAATCTGCCCAGCTGGCTGGGTTTCCATTGAGATTTTGCAACACCTCAGAGCTGCCCATTTATTTAAAACGACACCAGAGCCCTAACCGGTTTGGCTCAGTGGATAGAGCGTCACCCTATGGACTGAAGGGTCCCAGGTTCGATTCCGGTCAAGGGCATGTACCTTGGTTGCAGGCACATCCTCAGTAGGGGGTGTGCAGGAGGCAGCTGATCGATGTTTCTCTCTTATTGATGTTTCTAACTCTCTATCCCTCTCCCTTCCTCTCTGTAAAAAAATCAATAAAATATATTTTTAAAAAATAAAATAAAATAAAATAAAATAAAACGACGCCAGAATAGGAATTCCGATAATGCTAACTTAGTGTTTTCAGAGCAATCTCTTCCCCCTGCCTTTTCTCCCCTGTGCCCTCTGAAGGAATATATGTTTTTGTATGTATTTTTCAGAGCACCTTCCTGTAGATTTTATTTCATTTTGTGTAATTGGCTTTCTGTTATATAGAGGGAGAATAAACTGGGAAATAAGCATGTGTGTGGTGTTAGAAGTAAGCTAGCTCGTCCTAGAGGAAATGAAGCTGAAGTTAGAAAGCAGACAGGACTGTTTTTATTCTGCCACTCTGGGCTTCGCTGAACTTGGCATTGGCAGGACACTCACCCACTGACTCCATGCTGAGCCCCAAGGGGGATGGACCGGAGCATTTAGGAGGAGAGGATTTGGCACCTGTATGGTGACCCCAAAGTAAAGGTCCAAAAAATCACAAAGGTTGTCTTAAAGCAGCACGGGTTTGAAACTCTTTTGGCCATCATCCTTGCATAGACATTTTGCGATGCAGGAATTCTGAATTCATCTCACCCGATTTCCCCATCCTAGGTGGTGTCGGGATTATTAGATTTCCTCATCCGACTGTGGGCCAGCACCCCCTGCTTCTTGTTTTTCTTTCCGTCGCTGGCACAGCTCAGTCCATTGATTGGGTTCTTACATAGTGTTAAAAATGCTTTTTCTGCCCTGACTGGTTTGGTTCAGTGGATAGAGCATCGACCTGCGGACTGAAGGGTCCCAGGTTCGATTCCGGTCAAGGGCATGTACCTTGGTTGTGGGCACATCCCCCATAGGGAGTGTGCAGGAGGCAGCTGATCGATATTTCTCTCTCATTGATGTTTCTAACTCTCTATTCCTCTCCCTTCCTCTCTGTAAAAAAATCAATAAAATATATTTTAAAAAACAAAACCTAAAAATGCCTTTTCTTCCAACTCCCCCTAGAGCTTCTGTTTTTATCCATTTGCTTACAAATAGATTTAATTAGCTCAGAAAACTACCTCCAGGATTTTTCAGTTGCTTTCCTTCTGTTCTATAGAGACACATGCTTCATGCTGGTAAAGCGAGACCGATGGGAACTTCAGAGTGGCATGCATTTTCCTGCAAACACAGTTAAGAACAGACACCCAAGTCCTAAAGAGGAAAGTTGGAGGCACTCTTGAGTCACCACTTGGGGGGTTGAGGGAGCTGTCCGTGATGGTTACAGGGTGTGTGGTGTGTGTGTGTATACACACACACACACATCACAGTGACAGATGACCTATTGAAATAATTTCAGAGCTGTTCTGTGGTTGCTACGACAACCAATGCTCTCTTGGCTTTCATCTGGCCATGTGACAGGGACTTTGACGTCAGCTGGAGGCAGAGTCTGTGGCTGAGTCCACACAGTCAAAGGCCTGTGAGAATCTGGTGGATGCTGGCTGCTGCCGCCTCTGCTGCTGCTGCTGCTGCTCACGCCGCTCCCACCGCCGCTGCCGCTGCCCAGGGCTGCGGAGCATGGACTGTTAAATCTTGCACTTCTTCCGTGTGAGGTAATTCGTTTCCTTTATGCACAAACGGCTAGATGTTTTATAGATCATTGTGGTTTCCCCTCTCTCTTACCTCCCACAAGTGTATCTTCATGAGCAATTATTGCTGTACCAGGGGAAACCATGAAGCGGCTTCTGGTTGCTAATTTTGTGCAGCCTCTGGAATTTGGTTAAATTTGGGTTAATGTTCTGGAAGTAGGTTAAAATGTAAGCGTCTTTCTTGCTCAGCACTTGCTAACATGGCATTATTTAGAGATACGGATTTGGCAGCTCGAGCCAAATAAGCCCCATCCAATTCCAGGAATCCTTCCCTCATTGTTTTGGGTTTAAAGACTCCAGCATAGCGTTGCAATATGTTGCTAACTTTGCTGTTTCTACAATTGCTGCCCTATTCTGAATCATCCCAGAATAGTTTGGAATTTGGTTTCTATCTCGTTTGCAGCGTTCAGACTTAGCAACAATAGGCACAGCGGGAAAGAGCATTAGACTTTGAAACAGAAGTTGGGGCTTTGCTTGTAAATCGGGGATTCTGAAATTACCAGGGAAAACTGTCAACAGCTTCCTGTTTAGAACAAAATAATCTGGACTCTGCCAGGGAAGTCGGGCTGGAAGCTCTCACATGTGCGCCTGCCGTGGCTCTTTGGTTGTTAGAGCAAAGTGCACGTTTTCAGCATCTTCCTCTGAAAATTCCGCTGTGAAGAGAATAACATTGGAGGGTCTTTACTGAGGAGTCCTATCATCTGTTTTTATGTTTAAAAATGGAAATAATTCCTTTAGAGGAAAACAGCAGCCCTAAAACTGAATTACCATTGGTAGATCTACTTTAATTGAAGCACGATATAATCACTGAAAATTTGCTCCAGGTCTTGAATGAATAATTTGATAAGTGATTAGGAAGGCCTTTTATTTCTTTATTTCTATAACACCATAAAATGCAAATGGGTTTATTTGCCTTATTGTAGTTCATTTTCTTCCCAAGTTTACTCATCTTGAATTTTCTATCATTGTAAACTAGTTGGATCATTTTTGTGGCTTATAATCCAAGGAAAACCTCTGGTATTGAAGTTAATCAAAGCCTCGATGTATAATCGGTTTCTAAATCTCACAAGTTTTAAAGGAAAAAATAGTGCAGGTTTAAGAGCAGCACATGTAATACACCTACTATTTTGATGAACAGAAAATAATGGTTTAACTATGTATATGAAAAAATATATTTTATGATATGTGAACTATATCTCAAGTTAATGCAAGACTATGTTGTTCTTATTTTTGATGTTCTTTATTAGTTTCTGAATTCTGATTGTGTTTACTTTACTCTGGAGATGAACATTTTGAACAGTATTTAACTTCAGTGATAAGTGAGTAATTGTGGGTGCATCAATGATTTCTCAATAGCTTTCAATGAGTGAATATTTATTTAACTTGCTGGCATTAGATATGACTATTTTTGGTCAGAGTCTCCATGGAGCATTTTCTAAAAAGTGTACTAAGGCAAATCTATTGAGACATCATCTCATTTAATTTATCTCATAATTATAACTCAGAGTTCATAGTCTTAATATCCATAGAAATATGCTAATTGCTTTGCAATTCAAATGAGCATGGATAGGACCAGGCTCTCTGTTATTGAAAAGCACAGTCTTTGGTGGGGGAACTTTGATGTTTACTTTTTTTTTTTTACTCAAAATAAGGAATTCTCATTATACTTTCCCAAGTAGCTTTCTTGATGCTCTTTCTATGATGTTTTAAATTAAGGTTATAAAGTGACCGTATTCAAGGCTCTTATAAAATAGATTGGATTCCAGCAGTATGAGAGATAAGAGCAAAGTATCAATGATCAAGTTCATCATTAGAAGAAACAACCTATGCTGCAATAGCAGAGATGCTTTAGAATCCACAGGTCTTTTCTTACGGCAAAATACGCGGGGAAATGGCTCTCATCAGAATCATCTACTTACAACAAGGAGACTGTGTGACTTCAAGGTCAAGTTTGTTTCAGCTTCAAAAAATACTAGCAAGGAATGATTTACTCTAGGAACTTGGCTGTTGCATTATCCACTGTTTCGTGTGTAGTTTCAGGGATTTTAACCTTTTGGGTGTCATGAACCTCTTTGGCAGGGTGGTGAAGCCTATAGACTCTTCTTGGAATGCTGTTTTTTAAATACATGAGATAAGGTCTGCAAGATTACAAAGGAAACCACTCTTATTGAAATATGTTGACCAATTTTTTAAAAATTGTGAATTGTGCTCTATTAAATAATACCATCATTTGAAGTAGCGATGAGAGTAAAAGGAATTTCGAGATAACTATAATGATATGATATGAGAATATCTGCCATTTTCCTTGGCAACAAAATCACAGGTACTGTGGTTTGTGACGTCCATTTTAATGACAATAAATACTAAATTTCAGTTTGAGGTTAGTGAAACTAAAGATGTAGTATTTTTTCCATCCAAGTTCCTGGATCCCCTTACATTCTTTCTACCCCTGAGTTTAATGATATGTGATGCCAAAAGGTCATAGAACAGCATCAAACAAAATCCACATCGTCATTTCCACATTCGATTTCACCACATCTGACTTTCTTCTCTGAAAGGGTGAGTTTCCCAGAGTATTCTGATTTCTGTGTGAAAAGGAATGATATGTCGGTATAGCTACCAAGCTGTAACTTTCTCTTATTTTTCTCCTTGAAATCCATAAGTAATCTTACGTGACTTGGACTGAGGAATTCTTACCTGGTTAGATAGGGGTTAAAAGGAAAAATGCATAGTGTTAATGCAAGTTATGCAAGTTAAAACCATGGACCACAGAAGACTATAGGTACTGACGAAGGGACTTGTATCCACTCAGAGAAAAGTAGTACTTAGATGAAGAATGCAGAATGCTATATGAGATCATAGCTGAAGGAATAGTCTAGAAGGTACTTTATGCACAATACTTGAAAAGTGCATTAAAGAACTTATGTAACTTCCAAGTTTAGTGTAAAGCACATGTGTGAATTGATAAATTGTCATGTTAATTCCAGTCAGTCAGGATAGAGCCTGGAGGTTTATCTGCCAGAGGGCCCCAGGCCAAAACACATTCAAAATGATGTGGGGAATGGAGACACTTCCCAGGTATTTTGAACTCAGACTCTTACTTGACTTACTGGATATTTAAGAACAAGAAAGGAGCCCTAGCTAGTATGGCTCAGTGGTTGGAGCACCAGTCCACGGACTGAAGGGTCCCGGGTTCGATTCCAGTCAAGAGCATGTACCTTGGTTGCAGGCTCAATCCCTGCCCCAGCAACCAATTGATCTCTCTCTCTCTCTCTCTCTCTCTCCCTCCCCCAATAATGTTTCTCTCTTTCTTTCTCCCCCCGTCCCTTCCACTCTCTCTAAAAATCAATGGGGGAAAATATCCTCAGGTGAGGATTAACAACAACAAAAAAGAGCAATAAATGAGGTATTAATATTATTGTTTAGTGGGACTGTGTAAGTCATTGTCTCACTCTCCATGTCACATTGAATTTGCAGAAGATACTGCCTCCGTTTTCTCTCCAGCCAGTCAGGTTACTTTGCAGTTGGTTGGCCGATGTCCCATAGCATTGTCTTTCTAACCTGCGTTTGAGTGTCCAAAGCCATCCTTTCTCAGCGTGAGAGAATGGGAGCTATGACGTTTCACACAAGCTGTTGTTTAAACTCGATCCAAATCCCTAACATCTGAAATGAAAGCTTAGCGATTTTTTTCACGTGTTCTCTGGGAAATTACGAAAAAGGATTTTCTCAAATGTTTCTTATTCTTTGGACTCGAATAGAACACCTGCTTTGGAGGCTTTTATGAAGAAACTGGAAAAAGTCTAAAAACAGCTCTGACTCCCGGCTGCACTGTTTGATGGCAGGTGTTTGAAATTTAAATTCAGAAAGGAACATGCCATTATTTTTTTCATGAAATCAACTGTTATTTAAAGGCACCCTGTGATGGAATGCTAGTTAGCATTCCAAAATATGGCATTTTTTATTGTTTCCAGAAGTGATGCCATAAAAGTTAGTGCTCATTTAGACTCGGATATAAAAATTATATGATAAATATTTAAATTCAGTGGAGCCACATTCTCCATACTAAAGACAGTGTGTCCTTTTTATCTGCTGTGAGCTTTCGGGTTTTTTTGGACATCTTTCTATAACTGCCTTCAATTAGAGACACAGCATCCTTTTCAAATTTAGTTTACACTAATGTGAAACATAGTATACTCAGCTAACATTAAGTCCTAGATTTGATTTTCAGGAAAGAAATCTCTAGTCTGAGAGATAGTCCAGCTGCTGCTTGTCCTAATGGAAGGACTGTCGGTATTTCCTGAATTCTGTCCCAATGACTGCAGGAAAACCAAAGGCAGCATACGGCTGTTAGGAAAGATGAGTTTTTAAAAGGATGATCCTATATTGTCTTTACTTTGATGATTTTAAACCTCATCCATTAGAGATAAATGTCAAGAAGAGTGTTCTAATATTTGGCTGTCTGCTCAGCTGCCTCCCACAGCCTTTCATGTGATTCAGACATCTAAAACCACGACCAATTGTGTGATGGCCATATTTACAACATCTTTGGCGATGAAATAAAAAATAGCATCCCACAAGCTATCCCATCCCACGCCTTCCCACGTCTCACCACAAATCAGGTGCAGCATGAGGTAACATCATCCAAACCGCAAGTATTTATTAACTGGCTACTGCATCCACAGTATTAGAGTCGGCTTTTTGGTTCCCTCCCTCAGCTGGTCCTTGAGTGGTCTATCTCAATGGCCTTCTGAGATTTGTTTGCCTGCCCTTCAGTGCAAACATTCAGTCTTCCATGTGTTCAACAAGTTTTGAGCACCTACTAGATACCACGGATGCTGTGGTGAACAAGACAGACGAGGTCCCCTACCATCATGGAACTTGCAGTCTAACTATATAGGCAACCTGCCCAGAGATCTATGTGTTTCGGCAGCCAAGGTTTCTCCCCTACAGCTGTGCTGGCCAGT